GAACTTTAAAATAGAGTTTGATTTGATTGGATTGGATTAGTCGTCTGATTGGCTATTTGGTTTTTGCTGCCTGAACATGCTTTAGCTCATTAGTCTTTTGTAATAATGAATACGTCATCCCCAATGATTTCCAAACATCCAATTGTCTGGTAACTTCTAGATTTAAATCGGTGCTTATTCGAGTCAGGAGTGGAACATTAAGAATAAACTCTCATCAAGCTTTCTTCGTTTTGAACCCAACGCACAAACATTAATGTTGTTGTTATACTTTTTCTACTTCTTCATATCTTATTTTCTTATTTTTACGATAAGATAAGCAGAATAAAACTGCCCCAGGGCCGCCCCCCCTCTTACTAGATTCAACATTAACATTAAATATTTAAGAACATTTCTTTATCCAACTTCCAACACAAGTTAACTTTTGTTTTTGTGCAACAAAGGGTGAGAAAGTGTTTCCTAAAAAGTATTGTTTTTATACACTTTTTATTTCCTTTTTTGTTTTAAAAGTGCTGAATAAATAGAGTTTGATTTGCTTTGATTGGGCGACGGATGCTTGGTCTGAGATGCCCAAGGTTCAGCTGATTAGTGCTTTGAATACATTAATTTGTTATTAGTTATTTCCATAGAAACAGGTCCAATTATCTGATAAACTCTCAATTAGTCAACGTTATTATGTACACCAAGTTCAAAATAATGAATTATATGTATATTACAAATCTGTTTTTGGTTTGTTCAGCACTTTTTCGTTACCATTTCTGTATGAAAATTCAAATTTAAATAAAGTTTAATCTGATTAGTCGTCTGATTAGCCGTCTTTTTGATTTTACAGCTGATAGGTTTAAATGATTTGCCATTTGAATGACTCGAGGAAAACACCAGATTAATGGCGGTGCATTTGTAGAAAGTCTTTGTCTTGTCTTTGAAAACTTCACATATCTTTTAAGTCAATTAGGCGACATATTCGTACGAGTCTTAGACGGCTTCAGGTCTTTTTGCAGTCGAGGAGATTTATTACAATCAGCTGCCGTTTGAATCCAAAACAACAATATGTGGAATAAACTCAGAAGAAAAAGAAAAGTAAGGTTATATCACTTAAAACGGGCCAAACCAACCATTGAAGTGCATTCAAATGAAACAGATTGTTTTCAGTTTGTGTAGAGATGGGTAGACTTTCATTCGTGCTGATGTCAACGTGGAGCTCGTTCCACCAAACTTATAATGTACCCAGAATTTAAAATAAAGACACTATTTGGTCCACCCCCGTTCATATCCACGATGCAGGATACATATTAAAATCCTGCCTTAGTGCACGATTCAATTCAACAGCAGCGCAGCCTCTAAAATGACCATGAAGTTGGATAAACAGCTTCAATGTGTCATCCAGTGTGGATGTGTTCTGATTCAGGAGGAGGCTCCCTCCAGTCCAACTCACTGCTTTACAGGCTGCAAGGTTTGTATTTATTTGAAATAAAGGAAGCGTGAACATGGCAGCAGATCTCCTGACGTCGGAAAGAAACAATCAATTGTCAGAGAAACACGTCGACTTTAAACCCAGTGGAAAAGTTAGACAGCTGGATTTAAAGCCAGCTCTCCGAGTGCTTCATGTTTGGTTTTTCAGCAGGGTAATCATTTATGTGACGGCTTCCCTTCGAACACTTTGACAAAAGCTGTTTCTCCTCGTGTGGTCGCACATCTCCTCCAACAACATTAAGAATAAACGCTTATCACGCTTTCTTTATTTAAACGCACAAACATTAATGTTGTTTTTCTACTTCTTCATACCTTTTAAAGCTAAGAGAAGCAGAAGAAAACCGCCCCCCTCTTAGTAGATTCAACATTAACATTAAATATTTAAGATCATTTGTTTTTCCATCTCCCAATAAAAGTGAATCAAGCTGCATCTTTGTTTTTATGCAATAAAGGGGGAGAAAACTTTCATAAAAAGTATTGTTTTTATCCACGCTTTGTTCCCTTTTGTGTATGAAAAGTACACTGTAAATAAAGTCTGATTTGCTTTGATTAGGCGACGGATGCTTGGAGTTACATGCCTAAGATTTCTTCAGCTGCTTAGTTCTTTGAATAAACTAAAACTGCCGCGACGAATCTTACGCAGGTCGATAGTGAATATCCTTCCTTTCATTTATTGCTTATTTCCAATAACATACAGAACAAAGGTTTCACGGTGCCTTTCCTCTCACGTCCCCTTTAAACCCAGTGGAAAGGTTTGACAGCTGCTTTTAAAGTCAACTCTCCTTCAGTGTGTGGAGGGTAATCATTTATGTGACGGCTTCCCTTCGAACACTCGGAGTGGATCACTCTTAAAGTCATCTTAAGAGAAATCATTTAGTGACGTGTGGAGGGGTGAACAGCACGTCGTGCTCCAAAGCAGATGTAAATTACATGTTGGAATAAAAACCTTAATCTTATTTCTTCTGAGCCACACATTCATCTCTGTGCTTATGTTTCTTCTGGAGTCCGTCCTACGCTCATTAATCACGCTGAGATGTGTTAAAAGCAACAAAGGAGTAATGGTGAGGAGCCAGAAGGCTGCATTAAAGGAGCTTACAGCGCGGGAACATATAAAGGCTTTTCCTTCCTGCTTCTTGTTTCTTTCTTTGTCAGCTGATTAAATCCTTTCTCTTTTCTTTTCTCCAGAGCCTCAAACCTCTCTGATTCTCCCTCTGGACGCTGGATGTTGGGCGTACGACCCGATGGACGCCAACAGAACCACAAATTCTTCTGAAAGCTGCCTCACACAAATGGACTACGATAACATGTCCGCCACAGAAAACACTTCCCCCAAAACCAGCCCCTTTAACAAGATCCCCTGGGCTCATGACTATTCAAGCAAGCCCATTACTCCCAGTAACGTCCCAGCTAATGGCCCCACGCCTCAGAGGGGCCAAACCACTGCACATATCAGCAGCAAACCAAACATCCAGAGCAGAATCAGACCCGTTTCCTTCTCTCTGCCCAAAAGGAGCTGCTTCCTCCTCCACCAATCAGCCGCCGTCTTCATCCAAGGGTTGTCGGGGAAGCAGGAAGAAGGAGTGACGGTGCAAGAAAGAGTCAAAGGTCTGCAGGAGAAAGCCTCAGACCGGACGCTCAGATCTGCTGTTTCTGCAGAGAACCAGAACCTTCATGTGAACCCTGAGCCGAGCGGGTTGGACGATAAACCTGATGTATCTACGGATGGAGACCAGGTTTCTTTATGTACTGGCAGTGAGGTCCCAGTAGAGGAACCTGTCGTCGGTGGGAATGAAGCCCAGGTTTTGTTACCTAACGACAACGAGACTGGAGCTCGAGTCGGTAATGAAAGTGGGATTAAAACTGATCTTCATTTGAACAATGGGACACCAGGACAGGTTTCTGTAGTGGCCAAAGATCCAGTAAACAAAACCCACGATGATTTGGACAATCAAGACATAGACTCTACCGAAGACCAGGTTCTCCCTGCTCAGAATCAGCCTCAAACATCGATCCCCAAAGAGTCTAGCTTTCCGCCTCCGAATCGCCCGAAAGAGCCGTTCTGTCGGGTCTTGAGTCGAGACGGTACCCGGGTTTTCCTCTGGCCGTCGGAGATGCTCAGTTTCACGAAAACATCGCCCTCTATCTCCTTCAGCATCAACCCGTTACTGTACGACTTCAGAGCGCACAACAGGGCCGGGGACGGGGGAGAAGGGAGGAAGAAACGAGGGTCGGAGGAAGGCAGGGAGGGAATAAAACCAACTGTGATCAAAAAGCACGAGAGGGAAGTGGTGGCGGGAGGAAGGGAGGTGAAGATAGATGAAAGGGGAGAGGGAGATGAAGGGGGACAGGCGGGAAATCCTCAGGAAGTTGTTGCCCATTGTAGGGAAGCTGGCAGCCGTGATGAAAGCGCTTTCAAATGTGTTTCTGCAGCGCTGGGCCTTCAGAAAACAGAATTCAGAACGAGGAAGAGGAAGAGGAGAGGAGGGGTGAGGAAGAGAGGACGGAGGAAACGAGGGGAAGAGACAGAAAGGAGAAGAAAGAGGAGAAGAAGGTTATTAAGCAGCAGTTCTGAGATACTTGAAGGACGAGGAGAGGAGAGGTTGAAAAGAGAGGAAAAAGTGCCGTTCAGTAATCTCTCGTTGGGAGGCAGGGTGAGGGAGGACGGGAGGATGAAAGGCAGAGACGATGAGAAGAAAGGAGGGCTATTGAACAATCTTCCCGTGAATCGCTGTGATCGCTGTGACCAGCTGCAGGTGAAGAGCATCGAGCATCAATCCCAGCAATCAGCCGGCAGAAAGCCTCTCCACAGGGGGGAGGCATTTAACCCAGCGATTAGCCCCGTCCCTGGGTCTGAAATAGAGACTTCCTGCTGTCCTACAATGGAGGAAATGCACGAAATTACAGGCGAGCAAGCAGGGCAGCGGCGGAGTCTGATAAGAGGCGAGAGAAACCCTGCGATTAGAGGCATTTCTGTGCAAGAAGCGACGCAAATGTGTCTTGTTGAATCTCCAGGGGCAACAGCATGTAACCCAGCGATTAGCCTCTTCCCTGGGTCTGAAAAAGAGACGCCACGCTGCCCTGAAATGGGGGGGATGCACGAAACTACATGTGAACAAGCAGGGCAGCGGAGGAATCTGAGAAGAGGCGAATTCAACCCTGTGATTATTTGCGCTTCTGAGGAAGAACCGACGGGAATGTGTCTTTCTGAACCTCCCGGGGAAACAGCAGGTGATCCAGCGATTAGCCTCGTCCCTTTTCCTGTTTCCTTTAGAAAAGCAGCGTGGCATCAAAGACAAACAACACAGCAGACAGAAGCTCAGCGGATAAATGTGACCCTGCCTGGAAAGACAATTTCAGAGGAAGGGAAGAAGAGGAAGATGATAGAGGAGGAGGAAGAAGAGGAAACAAAGAGGAAGAAGAGGAAGAGAGGAAGGAGGCAAGCGAGGAGGAAGGCGTGTTTTTTGAGACAGGAAAGAAGAGAGAGTATTGGGTCGAACACTGACCTACACGAAGGCCCGGGGAAACTGGACATGGACAACTTCCTGTGTCACGAAACAGACGACACATTTAGCTGTGAAGCCGCTGACAAACTCAATGACTGCGAAGACGAGGAAATGAGGAAGAGATGCACTGACGGACCTTTCAGAGACTTTAACTTTCACAGCGACAGTCAGCGTGAAAAACATGACGTTACTCGAGACAATCCTAACGACAAACACAATCAGAGCTTTGAGAAACACGAGGATCCTTCTTTGAGTCCTGTGGACAAACTTCACTCAGCTAATGACACACGTGGGGACTTATTACCACGTAACACCAGTCATACTCCAGCTGAACACCGTCAATGTGAAAACAGGCAAACACCAAGTGATAAAACATCAGAGTTCTGTGAGCAAGCTGCAGCTCAGAGATCAGACGCATGTGACTTTAACAACACTAACACAACTGAGGATGAAGCCAAGCACTCTCAGACTGAAAGCGTCCTCTGTGATGCAGGGAGTGAGTGTAAGTCCTGCAGAGGGATTGACGGTGGTCAGTGTGACGGGGACTCATTAACACGTAACACCAATGCTACTCATGCAGACCAGCGTCAATGTGAAAACAAGCAAACACAAAGTGAGAACACATCAGAATATTGTGAGCAAACTGCAGATCAGAGCTCAAACTCCACGAATAATCAAACTGAGGATAAAGCCAAGCACTCTCAGACTGGAAGCGTCCTCTGTGATGCAGGGATTGATTATAAAGCCTGCAGAGGTATCGATCAGACATCAGACACACATCGTGTCGCTGATTGTAACCACTGTGCTGGGGACTTATTAGCACGTAGCACCAATGCTACTCATGCAGACCAGCGTCGTGATGACACGCCAGGTGTGTGTGAGCAGACTGCAGCTCAGAGCTCAGACGCCTCGGACAACAAGACAGAGGAAGAGGAAGCTGAACCCTTTCAAAATAAGAGCCTCCTGTCGGATCAGAAATCAAACAGAAATCACGTCGCAGATTGTAACTGTGCTGTTGTTGATGTGAGGAAGAAGAGGAAGCAGGAGGAAGAGGAGGAGGAGGAGAGGAAGAAGGTGAAGGAGGCGTGGGAGAAGCAGTGGGTGAGGAGGAAGGAGAGGGAGAGGAGGAAGGAGTTATTCTACTCTGATAAGAGGCCTTGTTTCCTCCCTCCTCACTGCATCTTCCTCCCTCCTTCCCTCTCCTCCTCTTCCTCCTTCTCTTTCCGACACACCATCATCCAGCATCACCTTTCCTTGCTTCCTCCCCCCTCACACCTCCACCCTTTCCCTCATCTCCTCCCCTCTTTCTCCCCTCATCTCACTCTTAATCCTCCTCCTCCTCCTCCTCCTCCTCTTCATCCCTCTTTTTACTCTTCGTCCCCCATGTCTTTCCTGGATTCCCCCGCTCAGTTTCCGTTAATGGAGGCGAGGTTTCATCCCATGCAGAATCACCTCCCTCCTCTCTTTCCTCCCCCTGTCCTTCCTTTACAGGTGTTGTTCTAGAAATACTCCATTAGAGTAGGGGGTGTCAAACTCAAGACCTCGAGGACTTCCTTTGATGTGGCCGAAAGACAGCTTGCAACGAATATTCAAAGATTCTAGACGGCAAAAGTACACATCCTTTACTCAAGAAGTACACACATCCTTTACTCAAGTAGAAGTGCACACATCCTTTACTCAAGTAGAAGTACACACATCCTTTACTCAAGTAGAAGTACACACATCCTTTACTCAAGTAGAAGTACACACATCCTTTACTCAAGTAGAAGTACACACATCCTTTACTCAAGAAGTACACACATCCTTTACTCAAGTAGAAGTACACACATCCTTTACTCAAGTAGAAGTACACACATCCTTTACTCAAGTATGTACTCAATGCATCTCATTTCGTGACACTGAAGAGATTTGCAATGATTTGCCCTAGTCTTCTGCTTTCACACGTAATTAATTATGAAGTTATTACTCTATCTGATAATAATCCAATGCAGAGGCAATGATGTAATATAAAACATTATTTTAAATATATTTATATTGGCCTATGTATATTTATATTTTACAACCGACCCTTTGAGTGCAACCATAATGCTGATATGGCCCGTGATGAAATTGAGTTTGACACCCCTGCTTTAAAGGGACAGTCCCACATTTATAACGGACGTAGTTTCCTGCACGAGTCCTAAAGGGTTAATCCTGTCCTGCCACAATGTCTTATTCTGTGTTCACATTAATCAACATTTACTTGTCAAATAAACAGTTTTTAAGCTTTTGAATGAACTTTTATTAAGTACTAACACCAATCCATGTAGGAAACTAACCCCCTAGATTAGCAACATGTGATTTTATTTACCCAAATGACACTTTTGGGAATTTACGACGATGTTTGGAGCTGCTAACAAGCATCATGCTACTATCCAACCTGTGCTAGCTAGAGAGCTAACATTCGCTAGCTAACTAGGTAGCTGGTTAGATGGGTAGCTAATGTTGGTTAGCTTACAACGTTTAAACATAGCGACCGTTAGCTTGCTTGTAAAGAAGATAGCTTACGTTCGCTATCTAGTTTGATGGAGAGATGGAGATATATGTTAACTATCCAGCTTGTAAGCTAACTGGCTAACGTTCGCTAGTAAGCTAACAGTACTCCATGCAGGAAACTAACCACTTAGATAACCAACATGTGATTCATTTACCCAAATGACATACTTCTGGGAATTGACTGCGATGTTTGGAGCTGCTAACAAACATCATGCACATGTCAACAATCACAGCCTGAACACAAGACACAGGACCACAATGCAAGTTTAACCACAGGGTGTTAAATAACCATTCAAATTGAAATTACGAAAGCCATCAAATTGTCGATTTCTGCTAGTTAAATGGTTGGGTAATGTTGGCTAGCTTACAATGTGGATAGCTAGCGAACGTTAGCTAGCTTGTAAAGTACATAGCCAGCTTTTGCTATCTTATAAAGTACATAACTTGCGTTCGCTAGCTAGTTTGATGGATAGATGGAGATAACTAATGTTCACTAGCCAGCTTGTAAGCTAACTAGCTAACGTTATCTATTAAGCTAAATAGCTAACGTTCGCTAGTAAGCTAAATAGCTAACATTCGCTAGTAAGCTAAGTGGGTAAAGCTGTGACGCTACATAAGAGGAATATTTCTGATCTAATTCTTCAATATCTCTTTTGCAACGACATTGTAACGTTGACAATCGAAGGTTTCACAAAAGAAACGACCATTTGGATAAATAATGATCAGTATTGGAGTAACAATATGTATGTTTTTCTTAATATATTATATTTATTGCATTAAAATAATGGATCCTTTTTGTGTTCATCACTTTATTGTTGCAGCTGGTAAAGGTGGAGGTCAGGTAAAATACGTTAGGGCTGCACAATTACACATTTTCTTTAAAATCACAATACGCGCAACATCAAAATTGCATTAAGTGCATTATTTGGTCAAATGAAGTAAACATTATTCTACAGACCTATTAATAAAAACATTGTTTGTTACTGATCACACCATGATATTTTGAATAAGATAAGAGGTACTTTATTGAACCCTAATTGGGACATGTTTGCGTTGCAGCAGCATAAAAACAAACAAACAAGGCATTGCACATAAGTAGAAATTAAAGAGTAGAAATAAACAATACTATAATTTAAACATCTCAAAATAGAATTAAAACAGCTTTAAAAAGTAGAAAATATACAGTAGACTTTGAAGATGCAAATTTAAAAACTCTGACAATATAAATCTTATTTACATTAAGTGTGTAGGGAATGGAAAATGTAATTAAATATAAACGTAGTAATGCAATATACTTTTTGTTTCAGATCTGATTATTCTCTCCGATATTCAAAAATAATCGCAATTAGTTATTTTTTCACCAATTGTGCATTGGATTTAATGATTGAAAGCATAAATTAAGACATTTACAATATTTGGTAGGTTCAATAAGGACATACATTAAGTGTAACGCGGCTTTTAAAAACCACAGATACACACTAACGGATATAAATAAACTCAGAAATCCTTTATCCATCCTACAGAGGGGGATTTCAGGGGGACAGTATGGATAACGATAAGAATAAAACACTGTAAAATTAAAATGCATGCAACAAATTAACAAAAATAAAACTCAAATAGTAAAATAATCTAGGTAAAAGGAAAAGAAAGTAGCACTAATATAAGAAATTAAGTGGAACATAGTAACAGCCGGAAATGTTATGATATCATGTCTTAAATCCCCATATGGACATAATATCGATGTATTACCCAGCTATATGTCCCACCTGCAGACTCAAAGCGAGGATGAAATGTGAGGAGAATCTCAGGAAAAACAAAAGATTATTTTTCTTAAAGTCTAAACTCCTCATCAACCCGTCCAAACACCCACTGCCTCGCACATCTGAAGAAAAACCTAAAAGGATGGCTAATTATCTTCATCAGTGCAACTCTGCTGGAAATGAGCGTCAGGTGTTCATTCAGCAGAAACTGAGGACACACAGCTGCTCCAATCAGAAGCATTTGCATTTTCAACCCAGTCATTTTCCAAGTTGGTGACTTTAGGACAGACTCTCTCCTCAGATATCTTCAGACCGTGATGGTAAATGCAGGGTTGCTGTTTTTTTCTGGTTTAAATTTACATTTCCTTCCCGCAGAGCTTCTACTTCAGTGGACGACTTCCAACGTTTCCGATGACAGATGGAAACTCACTGCTATCAGCTGGAGGTCATTATGATCACATGACTGATCACATGACTGGAGGTCATTATGATCACATGAATGGAGGTTATTAAGATCACATGTTATTAAGATCACATGACATGAGATTATTAAGGTCACATGACTGATCACATGACTGGAGGTTATTAAGATCACATGACTGATCACATGACTGGAGGTTATTAAGGTCACATGACTGATCACATGACTGGAGGTTATTAAGATCACATGACTGATCACATGACTGGAGGTTATTAGGATCACATGACTGGAGGTTATTAAGGTCACATGACTGATCACATGACTGGAGGTTATTAAGGTCACATGACTGATCACATGACTGGAGGTTATTAAGGTCACATGACTGATCACATGACTGGAGGTTATTAAGATCACATGACTGATCACATGACTGGAGGTTATTAAGATCACATGACTGATCACATGACTGGAGGTTATTAAGGTCACATGACTGATCACATGACTGGAGGTTATTAAGATCACATGACTGGAGGTTATTAAGATCACATGACTGATCACATGACTGATCACATGACTGGAGGTTATTAAGGTCACATGACTGATTACATGACTGGAGGTTATTAAGATCACATGACTGATCACATGACTGATCACATGACTGATCACATGACTGGAGGTTATTAAGATCACGTGACCCACATGTCTTGAGGAAGTCTATTTTTCCAATGGATAGTTTATAAACGGTTGAAACAAGAAAATGAGGGTGAGGGTTAAGGGTTAGGGTTATATCCATTGTATATATATTACATTAATTTGTGTAAAGAATTGGTATTAACAAAAATAAAACAATTATACATTTATAAAATATTTTAAAGAAGTTCAAGGAAGGTTGAAACACGACCTTCTGACCAACATTAGGGTTATATTTATAAATGTGAATGTATATAAAATGACACTACTGAGTGGAAAGATTTGATTTAAAAAAAGATAAATCAACTGAAAACATATCAAAAAAGGACTGAAACCTGACTTCCTGTCCAGATTTAGGGTTGGGGTTATACTCACATTAATATCAACACAAATACAGTAAAATAGCCGAATAATAGATTGTAAAAGGTTGAGACATGAGTTTAAGTCCAAGATTAGTTTTAGGGTTGGATCATATTTATACTTAAATGAGAGGAAATATTAGACTTTATGAAGTTTAAACAATTAGTTTGGGTTCACCTTTAACCTTAGCTTAGACAAATCTCAAACTACAAATATCTATATATCCTTTTTCCTTCCTTCATACTTACAAACCACTTCGATGACCTAAAGATATCATTATGCACCATGACTCAAAGACACTACCGCTCCACAACACAATGCATAGGAAATAGAGAAGCTGCACATTAATGCAGAAGATTAGTCGATCATTGTGGAGAAAGATTGAGTCCAATATGTAGAAAACGTTCAGTTTCATCTTCATTTTCCAAATAAAAATGTGATTGACGTCCAATTGGGGAAGTCCCGTGACATTCCTGTACGTACAGAACAGAAAATACATGCAAAGTGATTTTATTTAGTTGTAAGACACTAAGTCTGCAGAGTGCAGAGTTTCTGTCAGCGTGGGATTCGGCTCTCAGCTTCTCCTGAACTGTATTTCTGCTGAAGTGAGGGTTGAGCGTCAGAGCCAAATGTTAAGTTTGAAATAAAGCCGCTGCTCTTTGATTTTGAGCGACTGACCTTTTCTCTTGACTTTTTACACTGTTGATTTCCTGCCAACCCACACCATTTCAACTGCACTAAAAATAACCCCCAAACCTGGAGGATAACTTTACATCCAGTGACTCATGCGAGGAAACAAAGGCCAAAACACACACAGAGGGATTCAGCATGGCCCTGTTCCTGAGAGACGACGACTTGTTCTACGGTCGAACTGTCAAAGAAATCAGATCTTTTCCGAACCACTGCTCCTCAACCTCAGTGGTAAACATAATTTGGTTGAGGAAAGGAGAGAAGGAGGATTCATCAGGACTCAGGGAAGTAATCTGCTGTGGGGAAAATAGAGTTGTATAAACATGAACCACAGCAAAACATATATTACAATGAAACGGCTGCTCGCCCTCCTGTCTGCTCTCATTAATCCACATGAGTCTCATTGGTATGAATTAAGTCAACGTTATGCAACACATAATAACTTGCTACACATCTCCAGTGATACTAAGTCAAATGCTGAGGTACTTCACTTGAGTATCTCTACTTTATGCTACTGTGTACTTCTCCTCCTCTACAGTTCAGAGGTACATGGTGTACTTCTACTCCACTACATGTATTTAATACCTTTAGTTACTTCTCAGATGTGGATGAATGATGTGAAATATAATCAAGTGTTGAATCAGACTTTAGTTCCACCTGGAGTAAATCCACCAGCTACCCTGCAGTATACAAAGTCATTCAAACTAGCTGCACCTTTACCAGCTTTGAGAACACTTTCATGATCGAATCTTTATAAAACATATCATATATATTATTCTGAAATGGACCAATCAAACAATCACTACTTTTACTGTCGCTACTTTCACTATATTTTGATGAGAATACTTTTCTACTTTCACTTGAGGAACATTTTGAATGCAGGGCTTGTACTGTAACAGAGTATTCCTACACTCTGGTACTTCTACTTTTACTCAAGTACAAGATCTGAGTACTTCTACTTTTACTCAAGTACAAGATCTGAGTACTTCTACTTTTACTCAAGTGCAAGATCTGAGTACTTCTATTTTACTCAAGTGCAAGATCTGAGTACTTCTATTTTACTCAAGTACAAGATCTGAGTACTTCTACTTTTACTCAAGTGCAAGATCTGAGTACTTCTACTTTTACTCAAGTACAAGACCTGAGTACTTCTACTTTTACTCAAGTGCAAGATCTGAGTACTTCTACTTTTACTCAAGTGCAAGATCTGAGTACTTCTACTTTTACTCAAGTACAAGATCTGAGTACTTCTACTTTTACTCAANTTACATACTTAACATACAGTTTACATGCAGCTTACATACTTAACATACAGTTTACATGCAGTTTACATGCAGTTTACATGCAGTTTACATACTTAACATACCGTTTACATGCAGTTTACATACTTAAAATACTGTTTACATGCAGTTTACATACTTAACATACTGTTTACATGCAGTTTACATGCAGTTTACATGCAGTTTACATACTTAACATACTGTTTACATGAAGTTTACATACTTAACATACTGTTTACATGAAGTTTACATACTTAACATACTGTTTACATGCAGTTTACATGCTTAACATACAGTTTACATGCAGTTTACATGCAGCTTACATACTTAACATACAGTTTACATGCAGTTTACATGCAGTTTACATACAGTTTACATGCAGTTTACATACAGTTTACATACTTAACATACAGTTTACATGCAGCTTACATACTTAACATACAGTTTACATGCAGCTTACATACTTAACATACAGTTTAAATGCAGTTTACATACTTAACATATAGTTTACATGCAGTTTACATGCTTAACTTACAGTTTACATGCAGCTTACATACTTAACATACAGTTTACATGCAGTTTACATACTTAACATACTGTTTACATGCAGTTTACATGCAGTTTACATGCAGTTTACATACTTAACATACAGTTTACATGCAGTTTACATACTTAACATACAGTTTACATGCAGTTTACATGCAGCTTACATACTTAAAATACAGTTTACATGCAGCTTACATACAGTTTACATGCAGTTTACATACTTAACATACAGTTTACATACAGTTTACATGAAGTTTACATACTTAACATACAGTTTACATGCAGCTTACATGCAGCTTACATACTTTACATGCAGCTTACATACAGTTTACATACTTAACATACAGTTTACATACAGCTTACATACAGTTTACATACTTAACATACAGTTTACATACTTAACATAAAGTTTACATGCAGTTTACATGCAGTTTACATACTTAACATACAGTTTACATACTTAACATACAGTTTACATGCAGCTTACCTGCAGTTTACATACTTAACATACAGTTTACATACTACATACAGTTTACATACTTAACAGCTTAACATACAGTTTACATGCAGCTTACATGCAGTTTACATACTTAACATGCAGTTTACATGCAGTTTACATGCAGTTTACATACTTAACATACAGTTTACATACAGTTTACATGCAGTTTACATGCAGTTTACATGCTTAACATACAGTTTACATGCAGTTTACATAGCTTAACATACAGTTTACATGCAGTTTACATGCAGTTTACATACTTAACATACAGTTTACATACAGCTTACATGCAGCTTACATACTTAACATACAGTTTACATGCAGCTTACATGCAGTTTAGAAAATGTACATTGAGTGAGGAGTCACACCTGTCTCCTCTCCTTGTCCCTGCAGGTGGTGTTGGAGCTGATCGAGCTGAGAGAGTTGGGTGCAGCTCGATCCCTCCTCAGACAGACCGACCCCATGATCATGCTGAAGCAGACGCAGCCGGAGAGGTACATCCACCTGGAGAACCTGCTGGCTCGCTCATACTTCGACCCCCGAGAGGTGAGGCCACTCCAAATGATAAGGATCAGGTTTTCCTTTCAGCCACAGAGCCTCCAACTGGTTCTTCGTAATGTTTTGTAATCACATTTTAGGCTCCACGTACTCCCTTACATATACAATCAGTATATTCTGTGTGTGTGTGTGTGTGTGTGTGTGTGTGTGTGTGTGTGTGTGTGTGTGTGTGTGTGTGTGTGGGGCTCTAACAGCAGCACGTTAAAGATGGCGTGTGGAGTTTCTGATGAGTGTTTCTTGGTGTGCAGGCGTACCCAGACGGCAGCAGTAAAGAGAAACGGAGAGCAGCCATCGCTCAGGCTTTAGCTGGAGAAGTGAGCGTCGTCCCTCCCTCTCGTCTCATGGCTCTGCTCGGACAGGTGAGCGGACAAGCGTCAAGTTTCAAGTCTCATCATGTGCTCGGCAGCTGCAGTGGAGATGTGTCAACCTGAAGTCACAGACTCCTCCAACAGAGCAACATGAATATATATAGGACAAATAAAGCAGATAGTCACTCCACTGTAAAACGCTCACCCAGTAGAATGGTTTTGTCATGTTGAACACTAGATGGCGTAATGGGGCAACAAACGGATCTCCTGGCACAGGTGCATTGACTGTGACGGGGAAAGTCTGTGAACACGCTGTTTTTCTTTGTAAATAAGAAATATTGAAAGCTAAAAACGTTGTCGTATGTGGAAATTGCACGCGTCCAAATAGTTTAGCCGTTGGATGGCAATAGTCACCACAATAACTAACTAGTATATTAACCCTGATGCGTCTCTGTGTCCCTCCTCCTCAGTCTCTGAAGTGGCAGCAGCATCAGGGCCTCCTTCCTCCCGGGATGACCATCGATCTGTTCAGAGGGAAAGCAGCCGTGAAAGATGTGCAGGAGGAGGCCTTCCCCACGCAGCTCAGCAGACACATCAAGGTACACATCCTCTGCAATAAATATAAATATATATATTTTAGGGCTGTCAAACGATTACAATTTTTAATCAGATTAATCGCAGCTTAAAATTAATGAATCAGATTAATCACCATTCGAACTATGTCCAAAATATGCCATTTCTTTGTGTATATTGTTGTGGGAATGGAAAGATAAATGAAAGAAGGCGGATATATCCATTTAACATACAGTATGTTTATGATAACATTGTTCTGTGTGTCAGAATGAAAGAAAGCCCACACACCTATCAATCATCAAACCGTGGGGTTGTATCGATGTATATAGAGATGTACTACAGCAAAAGTATTCTCCGGACTTCCTGCAACAACACCACGCCGTTATCTTGATTCTGATTGGCCAGAAGACATTATCAAAGATGTTCTATTGAGAAGACGATCACTACGTGACAAAAGTTTTCAAAACCGTTTCTAGTCTTCGGTATTTCCAGACAAGTGGCTGCTGAAATCAATCTGACTAACTGCTGTCTGTGTGATTTACTCTGCGCGAGTTGGCGGACTTTATCTTGCTTACTTTAACATCATTGTTCATGGTGGGGCTAAGGTGGGGCTAAGCCATTTCTTGGTATGGCTGTAGCCTACCCCAGCCATACCCTGACCGCAAATACCTCATTCCTTCTGTCTACTTGTATCCGAAATGCTTCTCGTTTTGCGCTGTCCCCCCGTTCAAAGAAAATCGCCGCCAATCATATTTCCAAGCTCGCGCCAGGGGGTTACAAGGGTTAGGGTAGGGCTCGCGTCTTGTGCTGCATTCACTTGCACTCGGACATTAGAGATTTTCTCTCATAAATGTCCGATGAGCCACAACTTTTCTTTCAAAACAAAGCTGCCACTGGCAGCTGGGGTGGCAAGGCATTTTTCTGAGGTGGCAGCTGCCACCCCGTAAAACCGCCACTGCTAGGGAGGCGCCCAGGTGGCATCCTTACTAGGTGCCCGAACTACCTCAACTGCTCCTTTCACGTTCAGAAGTCAAGCCTAACTTTCTGCCACAGATCGAGAGGCAGTTATTAAGAGAAAGTTTGATGCAGATAGAAACTAATCGTCAGTGAGCTTCACATTTTATATTCTCTAAAACAGAGGAGGAGGAGGAACATCTGTCTGCGGAGGCTTCGGGGCAGCGCTGGGATTATTCTCGTGACAAAGAAATAAAACTGATAAGAATCTGCATGTAGATGAGCGAGTGGGCGGACACCGACGGTTTATTTCAGTCTCACTCTCAGAGGTCAGAGAGACACTTTTATTCCTCGTGTCTCTATGGTGACAAGTTTGCAGCTTCGCGAGGTGTTTATGAGCAGGTAGCGACATTCAAACTTCTTATAATTATAATTAGAGTAAGAAATGTGTGTTTTCCTCCATGTCATCAGGCTGCAGGAAAATCACTAGTGAATATTCTCTTTTAAAACTCTTGGCATTCTCGTCCTGAAATAAACTGAAGGACAAAAAGTAGATGTGATATTATACTGATGATTAGAGGAGATTAGACCCCAAGAGGTCAAACTAATGGTACATCTCCAAAAATCGAAAAAGATATATGGGATTTGGAGAAGTAATCATGCATTTGGTTTGTTTTAAATATCTTCTTCTCAGTTTCTACTCACAATATAAAATGTGAAGCTGACAGATGATTAGTTTTCTATCTGCATAAAGCTTCTCCCAATAACTGCCTCTAAATCTGTGGGAGAAAGTTAGACATGACTTCGACAAACCAATTTGTGAAACATGGGGTTAATAGGATTTGTATATCTGCATTAGTGTTGTTTATGCAGGACTAATTCTCCAAACTCTAAAATAGTATAATACTTTGTCTGTGAAGTTAAAAGACTTCTTATTGTCCCCCTCTCGCTCTGAAACAGATGTTCTCTGTGAGCGTGGGGTTTCTTATGCATGATATCATTGTGATAAACGGCGCAGCACCTGAGGAGAGAAAGGAGCTGTTAGATGTTTGTAGAGAAGCCTCAGCTGAATGAGGCAGTTTGTGTATCATGTACTCTGATGACATTTTAGTGAGTAAAGGAACTGCATATGAACTCAATCTGCTCTAAATGTTATTCAACTTGCCTTCGGAACGTTTTTATCTCGAGATCCTGATTTTTTAAATCTAATTCCAGCTCAGCGGATATCACCCCTGCTAATATAACGCGGGAGAAAAGCAGAATGACTGAAATAAATCAGTGCACTTGATATCTCTGTGTCTTCTCGGGTCTTTTTTCGACGTTCATACAGAAGAAAAGTGGCTTTAAAACGACTCACTTTCATAAAAAGCCCATTATCAGCGGATCGATCGCACCGGAACATTCCTGTAATTTCCCCCGAGTGAGAAATAATAAAGAGAGGCCACGCTCATTCAGAGAAAAACGGATTATAAATACGGTGTGTGTGTGTGTGTGTGTGTGTGTGTGTGTGTGTGTGTGTGTGTGTGTGTGTGTGTGTGTGTGTGGGGGGGTGTGTGTGTGTGTGTGTGTGTGTGTGTGTGACAGCTGGGACCCTCATGTTATGTTCAATGACCAACTTAGCATTAAATCTCAACATGTTCAACACCTGGGGCTGTTTGAGTGTGTGTTCTTACATTTGTACAATATTTCCCATCTGGCCGTGTGTGTGTGTGTGTGTGTGTGTGTGTGTGTGTGTGTGTGTGTGTGTGTGTGTGTGTGTGTGTGTGTGTGTGTGTGTGTGTGTGTGTGTGCAGCCACTGTGACAAGTGGAGTTCACTTTATTACAGAATCAACGGTTCTCGGGTAATTTGTTTCTGCGACCTTTAAAAATCGGCGGAGAAACCTTCTGACATTAAAACTTGACTTTATGGGATTACTTTTAAAAGTGTGTGTGTGTGTGTGTGTGTGTGTGTGTGTGTGTGTGTGTGTGTGTGTGTGTGTGTGTGTGTGTGTGTGTGTGTGTGTGTGTGTGTGTGTGTGTGTGTGTGTGTGTGTGTGTGTGTGTGTGTGTGTGTGTGGTGCTACGGAGTGGTCCTAAGATCACAGGGCGAAGGGCTGCAGGCAAGCTGCATCCTTGATTCCGACGTTGTTTACCTTACCTCCTGTTAGAAGTGCGTATAGCCTGATAATTACACTCAATTTCAGTTGACGTGCAAAGGAAATATCTCTGGGTAAATCCCCAAAACAATCTTTAACTCCCTCAGAGAAGGGTGTTCACATCAAAGAGGCATCAATAATTCCACGCTGAGATTAATTTCCTACAGGTTAAACCACTGTTTGTTTACTTAGTAAAGACAGTGCAAGGGCAAATCCCACAGAGAAGTTAACCACATCCAACAGTTTGACGTATTATAATACTTTTCTCCATCTATTTATATAGAGCTCTCGTCTGGTGGAATCTGCAGCAGCAGAGTAAAGCAGCAGTAAGAAAGGAGTGCCAGGATTGCAGGCACTATGCCAGTAACTGGATTTACACTGCATTTTCATGAGCCTTTTCCACACTACATTAGGCAGGAAGCGGAGATAGACCTAATAATGGGAGCTCCTTCTTTTACAACAGTGATGAGCTTATTTCAGCCATTACCCTTGAGAAATCTTCTTTGTTACTTTCAGGGAGTGTTTGCCGAGCAGGCTGTTTTTTACTAACATTCGGCCACAGGAGTCACACACTTTGACTCCTGGCATATAACCAGTGTAAACACAATGGCACTGATTATTCAAATAGAGTAAGGTATAATGGCTTCCTCAACCCTTTTCATTCTTGTTGTTGACCTACATTTTATTTTAACCATAAATCAGCAAATCATCTATTATAAAATGGTGTTTATTCTATTTAGTTATTTTTAATTTGTTGTGTGAAATTAGGGGAGCAACAATTTTGTAAAAAGTATACTCAATGAAAAAAACTAAAAAAAAAAAAAAGCCCATTACACTTAACCCTCCTATTGTCTTCGTTTCCCCCCCCTTACTTTGGTGTTCACGGTCAAATTTGACCTGTTTTAACTGCTATTACATTAACACAAAAAACATTAATCATCACCAAATTTCATTTAACACCCTTTCAAACTGTAAATATTGTATCAGACTACTGGTATACATGAAAAAAATGATTGGACACATAACGGGGGACACACATCTAGAGTGTGTGTGTGTGTGTGTGTGTGTGTGTGTGTGTGTGTGTGTGTGTGTGTGTGTGTGTGTGTGTGGGTGTGTGTGTGTGTGTGTGTGTGTGTGTGTGTGTGTCAGATCGAGTGTGTGTGTGTGTGTGAGAGTGAGAGTGAGAGTGAGTGAGTGAGTGAGTGAGTGAGTGAGAGTGTGTGTGCGTGTCAGATTGAGTGTGCGTGTGTGTGTGAGAGTGTGTGTGTGTGTGTGTGTGTGTGTGTGTGTGTGTGTGTGTGTGATCAAGCTACAAATAATCGCTCTGATCTGGTGAGGTGGGGGCATCTCCAGCAATGAACGAGATGCCCAACACACCCGTGTTTATTTGCAGTCGCCCTGTCTCGCGGTAGCGTGGCAGAGCTCTTTTCAGCTCCCTGCCCAGCATGCTGCCCGCTGGGATCAGCTGCGCTCCGCCGCCATGGTCATCACCTAGGGCGGTGGACCTCCATGGACCGGACCCGGAAGTGCCCGACAACGGCAAAACGGAGCCATCTGCCCCGCTGGAATGGCGAACGCGAATGGCACCGCCTCGGCCGTATCCTGGTCCCCCAAACACTCTAAGCAGAGAGGTGGTGGAGATCGGCGCCCGCGATCAAACCAGGGCAGGTCGGGCATGGCCGAGCCTCCAGTAATGTTGAGTCCATTTTTCTTTTCTTCTAATCTTCTAATCTTCGTTCGTTTAACTCTTCGGTTGTCAGCTCGTCTGAAGAGAAAAAAGGATAGTGGGAGGCGGGTGTAGCCGCCTTTATATACTGTGGACCTGCGCGCGCATTCAGGTGGGCTCGCCCCGATTGGCCGGCTACGTTTACGTAAACTCAGTAGGTGAAAGCACGCACAGCATGATAGAG